TCCCTGCTGGCTTCCCCATTGACTTTGCTTGTGGGAAGCCAGCAGGGAAGGTTGCAAATGGTGATCATATGACTGTGGGATGCTGCAACTGTTATAAGTGCAAGCCGGTTGCCAAGCACCTGGATCACGATCATGTGACCACGGGGGTGCTGGGATAGCTGGAACTTCAAGGATCAGCTGTAAGTACCACTTGTTCAGCAGCATTGTAACTTTGAATGTCTCTGAATGAGTGGTCATTAAATGAGGACTACCTGTAGATAAGAAGAGTCACAAGAAGGTATATGTGTATATTAAGAACCAATTTTTAATATTCAGCATATGCTAGTGCTCCATTCTTAAAAGAGAAAACAGTAGGGCTATTATAAAATCTAATTCATGGTTTAATTGTGTCAAATTCTGATTATGTCAGGATCAAAGCCAAACTAATTGTAGCATTTAAGGCCTGAGGTAGGTAGGTAGACAGACAGACACACACACGCAATGAAGTAGGAAATACAATTACACAGTTGGCAGTGATTAATTCAAATCATTAAAAAGCAAAGCTCTGTGGCTTTCTGGCAATTTATAGCTGAGTCCTCTGAGGAGTACCTTATGGCTAACCCCTAAAAGCTACCTAATACAGAGGGAACACTCCCACTATCTGTCTGGGAAAGCATTTATTGAACTATTTTTGGTGATGACTCAGCTAATATATTGATCTTTGAATTAAGTCAAGAATGTATTCATGACCAGCCACTAATATCCTCCTTTGACATTTCTAAATTAATCTCGCAATTGAAAAATGGAAAGGCCATCTGGGGATATATGATTCCAGTGAACTATTGAAAATTAACATTGATTGGTAAACCCCAGCTTTGGTGACCTTATTCACTTTCCTTGACTGCTTTTTCAGACCCCAGAGGACTGGGCTGATCTATTATTTCAACTAACTTAAAAAAAAAAAAAGGGGTGGATTTAATCCAATCAATTATCATTCAATCAGTTTACAAAGCATGATCAGTAAATTACCGGTACATTGTTTGTATTAGAAACTGTTAGATAGATTAATGCAGGAAAATATTCTGCCAGAGGAGGAAGTAGGGTTCAGATAAATCAGTTTTAGACCAACCTATTAAAGTGAAGTAAACTAGTACTTCCTCACCCCTCCAGGAACCTTAGTGTTTGATTGTGGATCTTAAATCAGTATTTGACTTGATTCCTAGTGACAGCTCTAGAACAGTTTAACACTCTTTTCTATGGCCTGGTGATTATTACTTCTAATTTAAAAAAAACAAGATGATAGCTGGATGCAGGTCCAAAATAATGGCCAACAAATATGAATATCTAGAGCAAGTTAAATTTTTTAAATATCTTGAGGCTACTTTTCAGTTCTCTTGTGTTGGGAGAAGGCAACAAGATTCATCTCTGACAGTATCCAGAGCAGTATTTTAAGCTTCTTTTTTTAATCAAGGTATGTTGTGATGCCACCCTGAATTCACAGAATTGACATTTGCTTCCCAGACAGGGAATACACAAACTTCCCAACAACCTTCCAGAATGAGGCAAGCTCTTTTGTTTTTTAAAAATCCTTTGCCTTTTGAAAATCTGAATTAGAACACTGGGAGAAAAGGAGCAAGAAGGTGTGCTGTGGTGTGAGGGAGAAAGAGAGAGACAAGATGCTTCTGCAACATTAAATTTAAGCTGGAATTTGCCCAAAAAAGAATTTTCCAGGGAGTAAATTGGTACAGACATAACCTCTGTCCTAAGGCAACTCTATTCTCTAGAGAAATAGGGAAAAATAAACTACGTTAGTTTGAGCCTTGTTTTACCTATTGTATTGTATTTTTGTATTTTTCAATTGTATGTTTCATGCAACTTGGAATTTCTTCAAAAAATTCACATTAAAAATATAAAGAAGAAAAGAAAAAATGAACTATTTCATTTTGCGTAGATATTTCATAAATTTAGTTTTTGCTCAGTTTCACATAAAGATGGCTTACAGAACAATCCTATACAATAAATGTTTATTCCCACTATTTTCAAAATGGCTTACTTTTAGTTAATAGTCTATAGTTGCAGGGAACTTACTACTTAATAAAGGGAACAGTTAGTGAGTTCACTGCAAGGCACAGTTTGGAAACCACTAGGTGCACCATGAACCAAGAAATTCTATAGGATTGTCTTAGATGCATAAAAGACAACCTATATTTTGAAAAGCTTCTGGGCCCACAAAGGGACAACTGTTATAAACAATCAAAATGAGCTTATATGCTAAGTATACATTCAGCATAAAAGTTTCTATACAAATGTTTCTAGGGATAGGAGGCAGATTTTCCAATTGCAGCCTCTTAAAACTTGCAGAAATATTCTACTGACATGCAGTAATAATCTAAGGGGCTCTGGAACAATGTAAAATGTAACATGGGCTGAGATGTTATACCATAAAACCCCCCAAACATACATTTATCAACAACTAGAAAGGAAATTAAAATGTTTCACACTGACTTGAGAGTAATAAATACAAACCTAAGACGGTAGAGATCTGAGAGACTTTTGCTTTCTACAACATCATGAGCAATGACTTCAGCCAAGTGAAGAAGTGGAAGAGTCATGTGAGTACATAACATTGCCTGCAGCTCCTTAAATAAAAGGTCTAAGTAATATAGGGTACGTGTCTAAAATTAAAAGAATAAATGACAAACAAGTTCACTATGATGGTCAACACTTGTATCTCAAGTGTACATTTTCAACTCTTTGAAAAAAGGCCACTGAAATAAATCCGCAGAAGGCAGATTTCTGTACAGTACTACTAAGAATGTAAATGCTTGCACGTAGCTAAGCATGAACACATGCTACATGAATACATGTAAGGGCAATAAAATTTCATATTTTGAGCCACTGAAAAAACCATCTTTGCTGCTTCCATCTACATACAGTAATACTTTGGGCTAACTTGCAGATATTTTTTTAAAAAAACAAATACAGGTAGTTCTCACTTACTGATCATTCATTCAGTGTCCTTTTGTAATTACAATGGTGCTGAAAAAATAACTTTACAGCCTATTTATGACCTTCCCAGTGTCCCTCAGTCACACAATTGCCATTACGATCAATACGTGTTGTCCTGGGCCTGACCTGTGTTTTTTTTCCCCTCCTCGCAGATTTATTTATTTATTTATTTATTAATTATTTATCGTATTTATATAGCCACCCATCTCACAAAAAGTGACTGTGGGCGGCGTACAACAATTAATGCTATAATGCCAGCTAGTGTGTTTCTATCTTGGTACATAAACTGATTGGATTGGAGAGAAAGGGATTTCAAGAGAGTAAACTGTTTGCTCTTCTACACATCGAAAGCAATAGAAGGCAGAACAAGGAGGAACAAAAAACAGCCAGGAGTAAAGTTCTTTTTGTAGCAGTACCATTATGTTGAATGAGATATGTAAAACTAGGGCTACAAAGCATTTGAATAACCATAGGATAGCAAAGAGCTTTCTCTATCTGGTTGCTACTATCTGGATTTTGCAGCCAGGATTTGGGAGCTGTATATGAAAGCCTAATATTTAGAGCAGTGTTTTTCAACCTCAACAATTTAGGATGCTGGCTGAGGTTTCTGCGAGTTGAAGTCCACAATCTTAAAGTTGCTGAGGTTGAGAAACACTGATCTAGAGAGAAGACGACCTTGAAGGAGATATGCCAGCTCTGTTGCCAAAGTGACAAAGGGTAAAACATATTTTAAATCGACAACAGCCAGAGGATGTTTGGAAGCGGCTCAGACAGACCCTAATTCACTGAATTATAAGTAGGAGGAAGGGGTACAACATAATCAGACTTGTAATATTATGTTACAATAGACAGACAGACAGTCAGACATTCTCAGTAAAAGTATTTTTAGCCTTCCTGTGGAGGTGATTTCTAGTCTGGTCTACCTAATGGGGTTGACAGACATTTGAATTTTTTTAATGATTTTTACCTCCAGTTTTGATTCACTACTATGGGGGAGACACTGAAAACTGAAGAGATGATAGTACAGTTCTCCTCAGGCTTAGAATTTAACTTTGGAGTCCTGAAAACTCATCTAAAGGATAGATAGGTTTTACAATCTCCAGCAATTTTCTGCTCAGCAATTGTTCTGACAGAGAATTCCTAATTTCTCCCCATCCATATCTGCCATTCTTATCCGTCTACCAAATGTATTTATTTTATTTATATTTAAAATGTACAGCCTGCCCTTCTGCCCATGTACATTTTCTGACCCCACTACTTATAATAATCAAATCCTGTATACACATCAAATGCACTTCTCTTTCCATATATCAAAGGAAAAAATCCAAAGATTTCTCCCTTCTCTTCATTCTCCAATGGTACAGGATTATAAGAACCTTATTCTTTGAGAGTGGGGAAAGCTATACAGAATTATTAGAATAAGGAGAGATGAAATACAGGTAGTCCCCAGTTTAAGAACACGTTTCATTCCCAAGGCCTGTCCTTAAGTTGAATTTGTATGAAAGCCAGAACTGTATTGTTGTATAACACTGTATAAATAGTATTATGTAATTAACTCGAACCATTGTGTATTTAACTCGAATCATTGTGTATTTAACTCAAATTTTTCTACAATAGGCTCTGTTCTT